TAGAGTCAGAGACACACAGACTGTCTCACTGTAGAGTCAGAGACACAACAACTGTCTCACTGTAGAGTCAGAGACACACAAACTGTCTCACTGTCAAGTTAGAAGCACACAAACGGTCTCACTGTAGTCAGAAGTAACACAGAGCCCTCACATCACTGAAAACAACACCAGCCTCTTCAATGCCCACTGTTCAAGAAAATGTTCCAGTATGGAAGCCCATTGCCGCCAGCCTGCCACCCTGAAAAAGAAGGGCGGGGGAGGGGGGGGGGGGGGATCCTGTAAGTCATAATTTTAGGATGCATTGTCATAAATTTAAGATACTATTATAATTTATAACATTGAGATTTTATATATATATATATATATATACACATATATGGGTCTATTTTTGCGTACTTGCTCTATCGTGGTTTGTGGTCGTACAGTTCATAATGTACAATTTTTTTTATAGGAAACATGATTGTCAACTATAGTATTACTCACGTGACTGGTACAGTACTGGATACAGTACTGTACAGTTAAAAGTTAAGCAAAAAATAACATACTTGGGACAGCCGCCACCATTTTGTAGTTTTCTCTCAGTAATTCTCTACTGTATTCTCACTCATAATGACCACATTTCCCAGAAAGCAACCGGGCCCCACGAAGAAGCCCTGTTTCCTTCTGATGATAAAAAAAAAAAAAAGATACATTTTTGATCTGATCGTCAACCCAGCAGATGCAGAGTAGTCGCACTGAATTCACTGAAGCGGACCAGAACCAGACCCATCAGTGAATCTTGAGAGCTGGTAGCCGGCCCACATGGACTTCTAAGTGGGGAGCATGCCAAATGCTTCGGAGCTGCTTCCATAGCCCATCAAGACTTTTTTCATCCAGACTGACTCAAATCTACCATCTACAGTCCCACGCCAACCAACAGAAGGTCTAGGTTTAAGAGTTTAGAACATTGCAAGAGTGTGGGAAGGGTTTTTAAAGCCTTAATAACTGTACTCAAGGTCCCAGTTACACCTAAAAATAGCAAAATATAAAGTATTTAAAAAAAAAGGTATACAAGGATCTATATACACTAATATACTGTATACGCTAAACAAACGCTAAACAATACACTAAAGGATCTAAGATATACACTGAACACTAATAATGTAAAATAAAACTGTAAATTAAACAGCAACCGAACATGAGTCTGCAGTGAGTAGATGGGTATGAATGAATACAGCATGAGACAGTCAGCAGCATAAGATCAGCAGCATGAATAATCAGCAGCACAAAGTTACATATCACCAATTAAGGGAAAAGAAGTCTAAGATTGTCATCATTGTATGTTTCCATACAATGGCGAAATTAGTTCTCTGCATTTAACCCATCACACTTGAAATACACCCAGGTGAAGCAGTGGGCAGCTAGGTAAGTGTCCGGGGAGCAAATGGGGATTGGGCACCTTGCTCAGAGATACCACGACATGTGGGAATGGTTGGGAATAAGGCTGAACGATTTTGGAAAATATTCTAATTGTGATTGCGATTTAATTTGCAATTATTTTTTTTATGTCTTCTTTTCATGTATTTTTCAACAAACACAAGAAATAAATATATCTGTTTCAGTTACAAATAACTCCACTGTTTTCAGCTCCGCTGCAACTCCGTTTCTGCATTTTTTTGTATAGCTCCGGGATAGCAACTTGGCTAAAATGTGTGTGCAAGGGCATTCTGTACCACTTATCCATTATATTTACCAAAGCCATAAATCCAGGCTTATATTAATAGGCATCATATCTTTCGCTATGAACTCCATTATTGCTCAAATTTTACTGTGTGCCATTTCGAATTATGTTAATACCAAGTAATACTTCGAACAGTTCGGTCAGTGATCCCTGTCAGATGGTACTTTGCTTACTTGAAGTTGAAGCACTGGTCGATGGCATTCTAGCCATGCAACTATCGTAAATTGATTTGTGTTTTTTTTAAGTGTTGATAAAGATTTGTGGTGTTACCTCAAGAGATAGCAACAGCAGCGAGGCAGGTTCTGCACAATACATGTCATTGCAGAGCATCTTCTTTTTTATAGCCAAAATAATTCCAAATAACGGATGTGCTGCCGCTCTTTGGTACCAAACTTTCAGATGTGTAAGCTTCTGTCGAGCCTGATTCCATTGTGCAACTGGTTAAAGCGCAGTGCTGACTTATCGCTCCCTGCTCTGCTTTCCTCCGCTCACTCGCAATTCACGTAACCAGATCACGAGACCAGGCAAATTGCAACCTTTGCAATTAGAAAATCTACTTTTATCATATTGCAATATTATTATATATGTGAAATTGTTGCAAATGCAATTAACTGTTCAGCCCTAGATGGGAGTCGAACCGTGACTTTCTGGTTCCAGGTCGGCAGCCCTACCTCTACCCCATCTCGGCCTAGTCCTAGTTAGGGATTTATGAGTCTAACAGCTTCAGGGTAGAAGCTGTTTCTCAGTCTAGTGATTCTACACTTAATGCTCCTCAACCTCTTCCTGAGGGGAATGGGGCAAAAAGTGTATGTGCTGGGTGAGTGTGGTCCTTCATGATGCAGGTGGCCCTCTTCCTGCATTTGGAAGTGTAGATGTCTGTGATGATGGAGAGACTGACTCCAACAGACTGCTGTGTAGCCTTCATCACCCTCTGCAAAGCTTTTCTCTCTCCAGCTGTGCAGCCCCCATGCCACATGTTGATGCTGGAGCACATAATGCTCTCCACTGCACACCTGTAGAAGGACTGAGCTTCCCAGTCCAGTTCGCCTCAGCAGCCTGAGGAAGTAGAGTCGCTGACGTTCTTTTTTGATCAGGCTTGTAGTGTTGTTGCTCCAGTTAAGTTTGTCATTTAGGTGCACACCCAAGTACTCGTAGCTGGAGCCCACTTCCACCGCAGATCCTCCTATGTTCGGGGGTGTGTGGGGGGGGGGGGGATAGGTGTGTTTGTTCCTTCTGAAATCCATGATCATCTTCTTCGTCTTCTTCACATTGATGTGAAGGTTCTTCTTCCTACACCAGCTCTCCAGGTGTTCCACCTCCTGCATGTAGCTGGACTCATCGTTGTTTATGATGCATCCCACCACCGCTGTATCATCTGCAAACTTTACAATATGACAGCCTGGATGGGTAAGTGCTAGAGTTGCATTCGGGTCCAAAAAAATCCGACCCGACCCCAGCCCGTAACCATTTCCGAACCCCACCCGATCTGACGCATTAACAGTAATTACAGGTCTGAACAGATCAGAGCTGAAGGGGTGCTTGTCCTTGTGCCCACAATAATCTCTTTTGCTGGTGCATCTTCTCCTGCCACATTTTGCCCTTCCACTAGGATTTCCATTGATGTGGTTGGACACAGCACTCTGTGAACATCCAGCCTCCTTAGCTATGAACTTTTGTGGCTTCCCCATCCTATGGAGGGTATCAATGATGGTCTTCTGGCCAGTTGTTATGTCTGCAGTCTTCCCCATATTGAACTGAACTGAGACAACTGAACCAAACTGAAGCAATTTAATGACACCTGGGGAAACCTGTGCAGGTGCTTTGAGTTTAGTAGATGATTAGTGTCACACTCAGTTTAAAACATTCATGTCCTGCAACATTTGGACTGATTTCTCCACAGTATTCAAATTTTTTGAAATCCTGTTTTCATGGGTTTCATGAGCTGGAAGCCCAAATTATGTAAAAATAAACAAATAAATACTTAAAATTGTTTAAATTGTGGGCCCTGAATCTATCATCTAATAAAGATTAACTTTTTGAATGGAATTATGGAAGTTAAACAACTTTTCCATGATATTCTAATTTTTTGGAAAGGGTCTGTATACTGAGGACAGATGGGTCAGCTGCTACATTGACAATGACTAGAATGCTTGCAGCAAAAAATTAAAAATATAAGTCACCAAGTTAAAGAGTTTTCTCTACAGAAAAAGCATTATACACATGAAACAACCCCACACTCCCAGATTGGTGAAGTAAACAC